ATTTCTGCTAATTTTTTGCATTCTTTTTGATTAAGGTTAGCTTTGGGATAATATATAATCCTATATAATCTTGAATTTTTCTAAAAAACTTTACTTTGAACACATGATCAAATTATTTGATTACAATATATTATTTTTCTTTATTGTTTCTTAATTCTTTTTTATTGTTCTTTAATTGATAATAATATTATTATACTTATAGTTATTTTTAGTTTGGTTTTTTTTGATAATTATTTATAAGATAAAGGATGTAGATCAAATATTTATATAATTCAATAATAATCATTATATATAGTGATATACTGACACCAGAAATCATATGTAATTATTATTAGGACAATATACAATATATATTTATAAATAAGATATATGATATTAAATACTGTAATCAAATTTAGTTTGATTAATATTTGAGTAGTAATTTTTAGAAGGAATTAGAGATTATATATAATTATTATTCCAGAGATAATTTCTCTCAAATATTACAAGATATAGTAAAGATTTTTCAGTAAATCTTTGTAATCAAAATGTGTTTAATAAAATAGTAGTATTTTATTAAAATATCAAATCAAATATTCAAATGATTACAAGAGTTAGTTATTCAAAACTAATTGAACAATAGCTATTTATATAGTATTTTCTATTATAGACTATTTAGACTGTCTGGATCATACATATGGTATTACCATAAAAAAAATTTAATTGACAATACAATTCTGAATTAAATATAAATTTCAATTATTTACTATATATTATTTAGTAATCTATATAATAAAATGTTAGGATTCTGTCTGTCGTGACGGTTTCTATATATGGTAATGATGTGTATGTCATGTGTTACACGTAATTATTGAAGCCATTATATGCTTTCACGAACTTTTTAGGTTAATTGCACACAATATAAATTTCGGGACTATATTCCATACAATATATATATATAAAGAATTGCATGTCCTGCATACGGAGGGTAAAGAAAACACCTGAAATATCAACATGATAAGTGTGTACTGTGGAGGGTAGAGGAAATATGCAGCGGTATGCATAATAAACTCAATAACAAACTTTGGAAACAGAAGGAAGAAAAGTGCAGTAATGACATGGACTTCTGTGGCAAGAACGGTTTCGTTTATATCCAATGAATTACAGCGCCACGACTTGGGATGTATAAAGATAGCTTATTGTGGAGGGTAGAGAAAGTCGACATGATAAGTGTGTACTGCGGAGGATAGAGGAAATATGCAGCAGCATGCACAATAACAATCTAAGGAAAAAAAGTGCAGTAATGACATAGGGCTTCGTGGCAAGAACGGTTTCATTTATATCAATGCATTACACTGCCATGACTTGGGATGTATAAAGAGATATTAAGCATCAGCACCCTCAATTTAGCACAGCAGGTAAAGTAAACCTTTCCCTTTTTCGTTTCTCTATATATAATGCATTCTGCTTCGAACGATTATGTACATGAATGAATAAATAGTTGACTTAATTATTATCTGGAAACATGATTATTGCCTGTGAACACTTAATTTTCTTGATTATCAAAAATGTAAAGTTAATGTTTAAATTTAGTATATAGATAATTATAACTTGATAAATGTAATATAATAAATAATAAATAAATTGCGAAAAACTTAGTAAAAGTGATATCAAAGTGAATTAAATTTTTCACTTATGAAAGACATAATTTTAAAAGCGTCTTAAAGTATCTAAAGTGTATATTGTTGCTAAAAAAAAATTGCATTTTCTTACATAAAAGTAACCACGCGAATTACGTGATTATGTATTTGTTCCGCACGTTTCTTACTCCTTGATCTAGGCTCACCTTCCCTTATGTCTAACGATAACATACAATTCGATAATGTGTTGTTGCAAAACAATACTGCGTCACAGGAAGAGACTTTGCGTGAAAGGCATAACAGATTACAAAGAGAGCGGCGTCGATGTGTGAGAGAACAGGAAACCTCTAATCAAATTGCACAAAGACAAGCATCAGAAAGGCATAGTCATGCACATCAGAGAGCAACAGAAGCGCCTGAACAATTATTAAAATGCAAACAATATGATAGGCAGCAGCATAAACTGAGAAGGGCAAATGAAATACCTGAACAAACACTGAAACGTCAACAAGATGATAGACAGCGGCAAAGAGGAAGGAAAGTACAGTTGCAATATAAGGCTGCAAGAGTGGTTCCATTTATATCTAATGGATTACAATGCCACGACTTGGGACATATGAACATATCATGCACGTATTGCTTAGCCTTACATTGGATCAAAGAGAAATTAAGTAGCAGCACTATCTGGACTCCTCAGTTTAGCACATGTTGTGCGTCGGGCAAAGTGAACCTTCCCCTTCTCCAAACACCACCACCCCCTCTAATAGATCTTCTTACTGGAGATACTTCTGAAGCAAGGTCTTTTCGTAAGGACATTCGCAGATATAACTCTGCACTTGCTTTTGTATCTTTAGGAGCAAAAATTGATGAGAATGTAACATGCCACCATGGTCCATATACCTTTCGGATTCATGGTGCAATCCATCATCGCATTGGGTCTTTACTTTCTGAACCAAATAATGCACCAAAGTTTACACAGATCTACATATATGATACTGAACATAAATGGCAGAATCATCATAACGTAATGCCAGGTTTAGCAGAAGGTACATTAAAAGCCCTACAACAGATGTTGCATACTGTTAACCCATATGCCCAAGTCTTTCGCCAGGCAAGCATGATGCTCCAAATCGACGATAAGCAGGAATTGCGAATGGTAATAAGCCCAACAACTATTGCTGGAAGAGATCCTCACTGTTATAATACTCCCACAGCTGCAGAAGTAGCCATCATAATGGTTGGTGATGGTGAAGGTGAACCTGGCCACAGAGACATTGTCGTACATACAAATGCTGAAGGACAATTGCAGCGCATTTCAGAAATCCACAAATCATACATGCCTTTACATTATGTTCTTCTGTTTCCAAGAGGTGAGGATGGTTGGCATGATTGCATTCCATTATGACACATTCCTTTAAACCAGTTGATACCTGATGCTATAAATGATTTAGAGCTTGAGGAAAATGACAACCTAACAGATCTTAATGAAGAAGCCGATCTTGATAACGAAACAGTCCATAGTCGCAAATGTGTTTCCATGATGCAATTTTATGCCCATAGGTTGCAGGTACGAACTCCAACAATAAGTCGTCTATTGCAACAATATACAGTAGATGCTTATGCCTGTACTGAGCAGAATCGCCTTAACTGGTTAAAACACAACCAGAAGAATATATGCTCTGAATTATACAATGGTATACAGGATGCATTGACAGCTGCTGATGAAGCACCGCAGCCTGGAAGGAGAATTGGATGTCATATTGTTTTACTATCAAGCTTTACTGAAGGTCCCTGTTATATGCAGCAATGTTATCTAGATGCGATGGCAATAGTGTCACAATTAGGAAAACCTGATATCTTTCTGACCGTTACCTACAACCCTACTTGGCCAGAGATCCAGAGAGAACTTTTACCTGGCCAGCAGGCAAGTGACCGACCAGATTTGACTTCACGGGTATTCAAGCTTAAGCTGGATGAAATTAAAAATGACCTGCTCAAGAACTGTATTTTTGGATATGTTGTTGCCTATATTTACATAATTGAATTTCAGAAGAGAGGACTTCCCCATACTCACATGCTTATTTTTCTTGACTCTCAGGATAAACCCAGAACGGCTGAAGATTACGATAGCATTGTTTCGGCAGAAATTCCTAATCCTGAAGCTCACCCTTTGGCATTTGCAACTGTTACTAGGCATATGATGCACGGTCCTTGCGGTCTTTCATATCCCAATGCGCCATGTATGGTGAATAGTAAATGTTCTAAAAACTATCCAAAAGAATTTCAGCCAGAGACAATTGAGAATCATGATGGCTATCCAGTGTACTGTCGACGAAATAACGGATATATAGTTCAAAAAAATGGAGTAAATCTGAATAATCACTGGATTGTTCCTCATAACCTTTGGCTTTGCACTAAATATGATTGTCACATAAATGTCGAAATATGCTCCTCTATCTTGGCAATCAAATATCTATTCAAATATGTTTATAAGGGCCATGATCATGTAACCGTTGAGTTACAAGCTGGAACAGATAACAATAGAGAAGAAGAAACTGATGAAATCAAACAGTACATTGATGCATGGTATGTGTCTGCGTCTGAATCTACTTGGAGACTATTTCATTTCACAATACATAACCACAAGCCGGAGATCTATCAACTTGCAATTCATCTTCCAGATCAACAAATAGTTACCTTTGGAGATGAAGAACCTTTAGAGGTTGTATTACAACATGCAACTATCAATGAAACAACTTTGACAGGATGGTTTAAAGCAAATGAAGAGTTGGCTGACGCTGGTACAACAGAGCTTACCTATGGTGAATTCCCACGTCGTTTTGTATGGAATAAGTGTTTAAAAAAATGGACCCCTCGCAAAAAAGGAAACACTTTGGGCCGTATCTACTTTGTGCATCCTGCTGCTGGAGAACGTTTTTTTTTACAAGTTTTATTAACTGTGGTTCATGGTGCAAAGTCTTTCGAGAATCTGAGAACTGTAAATGAAACGACATATGAAACCTTCAAAGATGCTTGCAATGCATTGGGATTACTTCAAGACAATAATGAGTGGGATGAATGTTTAGGAGAAGCTTCTTTGATAAAAACTGGATATCAGCTCTGTCATCTTTTTGCTACGATTTTGGTTAATTGTGAGCCCTTAGATCCAGAACATTTATAGGAGTGACATCAGATAGCACTAAGTGATGATATTTTATGTCAGATCCGTCAAGAAACAGGAGATAACACTTTAGAGTTGGAACCAGGAGATCTCAATAATCGTGCCCTTTTGCGATTGCAAAAAATTCTGGAAAAACAAGGAAAATAACTACAGAATTATCCTAAAATGCCTATTCCATATTCCGCTCCTGACGACAGTAATAGATTAATTCGAAAACAATTGCAACATGATATTCAAACATTATTAAAAGAAGTGGAAACAAAACAGCCCTTACTTAATAGCGAACAGATGGCCATTTACAATGAAATAATTGTCAAGGTAAAAAATTTAACACCGGCATTATTCTTTATGGATGGTCCTGGTGGGATGGGGAAAACTTTCTTTATTCAGTGCTTTTATCCAAAATTAGATCACAACGAAAAATAGCTTTGTCGGTAGCTTCATCTAGAATTGCAGCATTATTGCTTGAAGGAGGTTGCACTGCACATTCAAGATTCAAGATTCCAATTGCACTTCATGATGAGTCTACTTGCAACATTACACTGCAATCCAATTTAGCAAATCTTCTTCAACATACACACTTGATTCTGTGGAATGAAGCTTCTATGATGCACTGTTATGCATTTGAAGCTGTAGACCATACTTTACGTGATATTATGGCTGAGGTTGATCCAGATTTGGAGCATAAATCCTTTGGTGGAAAAGTAATTGTTTTTGGAGAAGATTTTCGTCAAGTACTTCCGATAATGCCAAAAGATGGATGAGAACAAATTGTTGGGTCATGTTTGCGACGATCTACATTATGGCAGTATATCAAAATATTGAAACTTACTATTAATATGCGCTTGCAGAAGGAAAAGATATCGTAAACACAATACACCAGCAGGAATTTGCAGATTGGCTTTTAAGAGTAGGAGAGAATCAAATTCCTGAAGTGCAACCTGACACCGGTATGATCCGTCTTTCATCAGACATTCTGTTATCGGAAAATCAAACTCCACAGGCATTAATTGAATTCATTTATTCAAACCTTCAAAGATGTATAGAAGATCCCAGTTATTTGATAGAGCGTGGAATACTGGCACCAAAAAATGATGAAATGGATGCATTTAATGATATGATTTTAAACATGTTTCCTGGAAAGGAAAGGATATATCTTAGTGCTGACACTATAGGCAAAAATATTAGTGGTGTATACAACCCTTCCCAAGAAGCTCTATATACGACAGATTTTCTCAACTCTCTCAAGTTTGGAGGATTGCCTCCTCATGAACTGAAGCTTAAGGTGGGAGCACCAATAATTCTTCTTCGAAATATTAACACCACAGATGGATTATGCAATGGCACTCGGTTAATAGTTCGTTTTTTGCAAAGGCATATTATTGAGGCTGAACCAATAACTGGAAAACTTACTGGACAAATTATATTCTTGCCACGCATTACTCTTTCGCCAACAGTTAGTACGTTACCATTTGTCCTCAAACGACGGCAATTCCCGGTACAGCTCGCCTTTGCAATGACTATTAACAAAGCTTAAGGTCAGAGCATGAACTGGATAGGTTTTGCACTTCAAACTCCTGTCTTTTCCCATGGTCAATTCTACGTTGCTTGCTCAAGAGTTATAGTCAAGACTTCGAGTTTTAATTAATGAAGAGTCAAATGGATATACAAAAAATGTGGTATATCCAGAAGTGTTTCAATAGATATGTATAATCATAATCAATAAAATTATCTTTTTTGTAATATGTGTAACGCAGCAGAATTTTTATCCTATTTTCTGTCGTATGCTTCCTCGTGACACTATCTATGCAGACATCATATGTAGTAAAATTTCTAACTTTATAATACACCAGTATATCGATGATGAAATTCGTGTTATATAACCAGAAATTTCACTATATATGATGTCTACATATATAACATATGATTATATTCTCCGTTGTCAACAACGGGTCAATAACTAGTATAAAATACAAAATTTTTAATATTTATAATAGACAACTAAAATTATAAATGACAAGATAGCTTCAAGATCTTAACAAAAAGAATATTGTAAAACAAAACTATAAGAACAAGATTATAACAACTGCAAAACTAGTTATGAATATTAACAATATTTTAAATATAAAATATAAGATAATGAAACTTTCTTATCAAAATCTTATAGCAAATATATTTTAACTCTTGAAATTAAACAATTTTTATATTAAAGAAACAAAGAAGTTAAAGCTAACAACACCTATTTTACAAAACAATTAAATATTTTTAAAAGATTTCATATCAAGCTTATAGTATAGCAAAAACAAAACCAATCAAAAGGAACACAATTTTATTTTTATCAAATTAATAAACAATATCACAAATTTATATTGCATTATATAAATATACTTTCAAACTTAATCAAATATAAAATATATAAAGTAAAAATCTTATTAATTTGAAAAATCATTATTTGATTTCAAGAAAAAGAAGACTATTACTTCAAGATCACAATAAATACATTTATTATATATAATCTAATTAACTAGAATAGTATCCAAAAATATAAATACATCTCTACAATTATTAATTATAATATCTATATAGATAAAGTCAATAAAAGAATTAAAGTTTTTAATAATATATTCAAAATCCAATACTTTATATACAGTAAATAATAGGAAACTCTTCTATTGAAAAATGTGAAAAGTGTAAATTAAATATATAAGAAAAACCAAACAAATATATTAAAAAGATTAACACCAAAAAAGCAATCTTTATTTCAATTAAAAGAATCAAAAATAATTTAAAACTATACAATTCCATAATAAGTAATCTTTTACAAGTCCAAGTCTTATCAAACTTTATTAAACAAATTTATAACTGGAGCCACTTAATATAGGAAATAATAAACAATCACATATTGATATTGACAATACAAAAATAAAAAAACAAGTATAAAGAAATTAAAAAAACTCAAACTATAGTACCAAATAAAAAAAAAAGCTCAAAGAAATAAAAAGAACAATTCAAGACTAAAAAACAATAAATATCTATGCAAAAGATTTATTTAACAAAAATGCCAATAGGTAGATAAAAACAAATATATATGAAATAATTATTAATCAGAAAACATAATTATAAATTATATTCAAAGGCAAATATAAAATATTTTTATTATCTATAAGAATATAACTTTTGATAATCCTTATAGCACTAGTACTTATAAATATAAATATAACAGCAATAATATATACAAATAGACAAGTAAAATACAAGCAATATAATTCAAATTCACAAAAAAAAGAAAATGATAAAAGCAACAAATCTGTTTACAACAACTTTTATAATGAATAAGATCAAATTCAAAAAAGTAATAACAAATCTTAGGAAAATCAAAACATATATTGTTAGTGAGAAAGTGGTATAGGGTATAATTGCATTATATGCTTCAACACATTTCATGCCCTAATTTTTGATAATTAATAAATAATGGTCTATAGTGATATTTTAAAATAGAAATAAGAAATAGTTTCAGATAGTTTATTAGCTAGTATAAGAAAAATAACGATGGATAGTTTATTTTAACTTAGTAAGATAGTATAATATAATATCAGTAACAAGACATGATATGCTATTATAAAAAAAAAAGGAGGGACAAAAATTGTATAGCATACAACTATAATTCACAAAATACAATTGTAATTCGTAGCATACAACTATAATTCGCAAAACACAATTGTAATTCGTAGTATACAAGATACAATGATAACCTTAATTAAGAACTTCCTAATTAAGATACATAATCAACATTGCAGAAAGAGTAAAACTAATTAGCTTATCTAATCCAGTACTTGTCAGGATAATAAGAGAATCACAAAGGAATATAATAAAGGTTTCATCAAGAAAAGTGACAATGGAAAGAAAAAGAAGAATTAGTAAGACTTGGCTAAACAAAATTATATATCTCAAGAAAGGAAGGCTTAAATCTTACCTGATATTATACAAGAGAAGCTCTGGAGAAGTAACAGACTTGTTAAATAAGACATCAACAATATAAGAAATAATAACAATAAAAAACAGATAAACTAGTAAAAGAAGAAAAAGAACTAGGCTATAAATGGATAATTGGAATTAAAAGCCATAAATCTATAATTTTATTTATATATTTTCAATATAATAGAAAGAACCTAAACATTAATATTAATAGATTTATGAAATATTGATAAAACAACAAATAGATTAGCATATGAATTATACAGAGAAGATATAAGATATAGTCAGAACAGCTAATAAGAAAAAAATAGATTAAAAAAGAATATTGAAAAATATATTATTATTAAAGATTATCAGCTTTAATATTAATTAATAAATTACAACAATAAAATATTTTGGATACAAACTTCTTAATAATGAGTTGTCAACAAAGATCAAATTAAATACAAGAAAATCTAATCTGTATAAAAATGAAAAATGCTCTTAATACAATTAACAGAAAACTATAGAATATGTTTTCAAAGAATATTATATTAATCAAATCAAAGACCTACCCGGTCATAGTCCAGTGGGCTAAGGCAGGATAGGGCTAACCCATGACCCACGGTTCAATTCCAGCA